CACCTTAGGTGTATGTGGCTGGCGCCTTAGCCGCTTGAGCCACAGGCGCCAAGCCAATTTTTCTATTTTCAATAGAGACGGACAGGGTCTCTCATTTGCTTAAGCTGGTCTTGAACTCCTGAGCGCCAGTGATCCTCCCAACTTGGCTTCACAGAGAGGATTACAGGCATAAGCCACTACACCCAGCCTGTTTGTTTTAATCAAGGTGGGTCTCATTCTGTCAGCCAGACTACAGTGCAGTGACACAATCATAGGTCAGTTCAGCTTCCAGCTCCTGGCTCAAGTGATTCTTCTGCTTTAGCCTCCCCAGTCCTGGGACTACAGGGTCTCACTATGTTGCTCAGGCTGGTCTTGAGCTCCTAGGCTCAAGTGATCCTTCTGCCTCAGCCTCCCAGAGTGCTATTATGTTAACCATAGTGACCGATGGTGCTACTGCCTGTTTTAAACTCCTGACATAAATTATCCACTTGTGTCCTCAAAACACATATAAGGTAGGGACTGGGGAGTTGCCTGAGGTTGCACAGCCAGAAAGTTGCAGTGCTGGGATGAAAATCTAAGAAGCATGGCTGCAAAGTGTGATTCTGCTAAACAGATGACTGGTGGTCCCAGGACTGGAAAAACAGCTATCAAAAGCTTTAGGCATTGTGCCCCTGTCCTCAGACCTGCTTTTCCTGGTCCCTGCAGGTCACACAGTACAGGTTCACCCCCATGTTGCCTGCTGGGCTGGGAGGAGGTGTGGGAACCCAACGGGTTTGGGTTTACTTTTTTCTGTCCTGCTGTGGGTTTACAGAGAGCCACCTCCCAGGGTGCTCAGGTGGGGGCAAGTGATTAAAAGCAGGTCCAGAGTGCCTGGACTCCACTCACCAGACAGCAGGGTCAACTGCCTAGTACCCTGAGCCCAGTCCCAGACGGACAGATAGATAGACGCGCGGATAAGCAGATGTTTCTTAGCCGGTTAGCTACTCTCCTTAGCCTGCTTAGTGGGGTCCCACTGCTCACAGGCTCAGGGATGCCTGGACCCCATCCCTGGGCTGCAGCCAATCGGACCTGGGCTCTGGAACCCCTGGTGACAGCTCCTTCCCTTAGTAGCTGGAAGACCTTCTTGGGCCTGCAGAAAACCAGGCGGCAGCAGATAGGTAGCCTGAAACCTAGGCAGAAAGTGGCCACTGCCATGTCTCTGCCACTGGATCCACAGGAATTGACCCAGGAGATGTGTAAGGCTGTGCCCTTCATTCAGGTGAGTGGGTGGGTATGGGAAGAAGGAGAGGGCTGGGTCTCAGTGTTGGCAGAGAGTACGGACTATGTCTGCTGAAAGATGTGAGTTCATGTTCTGTAACCTCTGCCTCTGAGTCTGTTTCCTCCCTTGTGAAATAGGGCATAAGCTTCTTCCACCTGGGTGGGTGCAGTTGCCTCCATCCTAGTCTTGTGGCTTCTGCCATCACCACCCTCCCTCCCCAAGCTTATTTTTCCATTCAGCAGACTGAGGGGGCTTGTGAACACCTGAGTTGGGCACATTCCTCCTCCCCTCAGAATCCTCCATGACTCCCACCTCACTCAGAATAAAAACCCAAGTCCTCCTCACAGCCCATAAGGACATGTCCTGTACTCTCAGACCCTATTTTCTCCCTGATTTCACCTCCTTCCCCTTTCTCCCTCATTTACTTCACTCCCAACAAGCCAGCCTCCTTCCTTTTCCTCAGGTCAACTTTCTATCTACCCCAGGACCCTCGCACTGGCTGTGACCTATGCCTGAAGTGCTATTCTTCCAGGCAGATAGCCTATGGCCCTTTCTCTCACCTCTTCCAGATTTTTACTAAAGCGTCATTTGTTTTAAAATGCCAGAGGTGGTAACTCATGCCCCTAATCCCCAGCACTCTGGGAAGTGGGAGGATTGCTTGAGTTCAGGAGTCTGAGACCAGCTTGAGCAACAGTGAGACCCGGTCTCTACTAAAAATAGAAAAAGTACAGCTGGACAAGGTGGTTCACGACTGTAATCTTAGCAGTCTGGGAGACTGAGGTGGGTGGATTGTTAGAACTCAGGAGTTTTGGCTCGGCGCCTGTAGCTCAACCAGTTAAGGCGCCAGCCACATACACCTAAGGTGGCGGGTTTGAATCCAGCCCAGACTCGCCAAACAACAATGACAGCTGCAACCAAAAAATAGCCGGGCGTTGTGGTGGGCGCCTGTGGTCCCAGCTACTTGGGAGGCAGAGGCAGGAGACTCGCTTGAGCCCAGGAGTTGGAGGTTGCTGTGAGCGTGATGCCATAGCACTCTACCCAGGGGGACAGCTTGAGGCTCTGTCTCAAAAAAAAAAAAAAAAAGAACTCAGGAGTTCAAGACCAGCCTGAGCAAGAGTGACACCCATCTTTACTAAAAATGGAAGAAAAAAAAAAAACTGAGGCAAGAGAATCACTTGAGCCCAAGAGTTTAAGGTTGCTGTGAGCTATGATGCCACGGTACTGTACTAAGGGTGACAAAGTGAGACTCTGTCTAGAAAAAAATAAATAAATAAAAATAAAAATAGAAAAAGTAGTTAGGCATGGTGGTGCACGCTTGAAGCAGGAGGATCTCTTGAGCCCAGGAGTTTGAGACTGCAGTGAACTATGATGATGCCACCACACTCTAGCCCGGGTGATAAAGTGAGACCTTATCTCTTAAAAAAAAAAAAAAAAGGTAGCACCTCCACCTGGTTCCACTTTCCCCCAGTTATTTCTTCCCATAACACACATCATCTGCCTAACATAGTATGAAATTCATTTGATAATTGTGTTTGTTATCTGTCTACTTCACTAGAATGTCTGCTGCATGGAGGCAGGATTCTCATATTGTTCACTGCTGTATCCCTGTTCCCAGGACTGAGAGCGGAGCCAGGCACACAGTGAACACTCAGTGTTTTTTGGATTAATGAATAATAGTAGTACCTTCCTCCTAAGGCAGTGGTTCTCAACCTTCCTAATGCTGTGACCCTTTAATACAGTTAGTTCCTCAAGTTGTGGTGACCCCCCCAACCATACAATTATTTTTGTTGCTACTTCATAACTGTAATTTTGCTACTGTTATGAATTGGAATGTAAATATCTGATATGCAGGATGGTCTTTGGTGACCCCTGTGAAAGGGTCATTTGACCCCCAAAGTGGTCACGACCAACAGGTTGAGAACCGCTGTCCTAAGGGCTGTTGGCAGCCACAATGAGATGGGTATTTGGAGGGTCTCACAGTTGCACTCAGTCTGTGCTCCATAAGGGCCTTGGGAATTAATGCCATATGCTGGCACAGGGCCAGGCTTTGGAGCCAGGTGTATCTGAGTCTAAATCCTGCCTTAATTGGTGATTTTGGGTGAGAAGGGTGAGTAGCTTTCCTTCTCTGGGTCTCAAAATAGGTTAATAATACTGGAAGATTCATGTAAAGCGCTTGAGACCATGCCCAACAGGGCCCGGGCATCAGTTCTCTAGACCCTTTTGCTTGTTATTTGCTCAACAAACCTTCACTGAATCTAGTTTTGTATGTGTTTGTGTATTGTAGAGACAGGGTCTTGCTCTGCCACCCAGACTAGAGTGCAGTGGTGTGATCATAGCTCACTGCAGCCTCCAACTCCTGGACTCAAAGGATCCTCTGCCTCAGCCTTCCAGGTAGCTGGTAATGTAGGCACTTGCTACCACACCTGGCTAATTTTTAAAATATATATTTCTGGCTCAGCGCCCATAGCACAGTGGTTAGGGCGCCAGCCACATACACCGAGGCTGGTGGGTTTGAACCCAGCCCAGGCCAACTAAACAACTGCAACAAAAAAACAGCCGGGCATTGTGGTGGGCACCTGTAGTCCCAGCTGCTTGGGAGGCTGAGGCAAGAGAACCGCTTAAGCCCAAGAGTTGGGGGTTGCTGTGAGCTGTGATGTCATAGTACTCTACCAAGGGCGACATAGTGAGACTCTGTCTCAAAAAAAGAAAAGAAAAAAGAAAAAAAATATATATATATATATATTTCCCAGGCTGGTCTCAAACTCCTGGCCTGAAGGGATCCTCTAGCCTCAGAACTTCCAAAATGCTGAGATTACAGGCATGAGCCACTGTACCCAGACAGAGATAACATTTATTGAGCACCAACTATGCACCACACAATGGACTGAGAGCTTTCTGTTTAATTCGTTCGGTTTCCTATCATACTGCTGTCCCTCAGTCCTAGGGGTGGTAGTGGCTTCCTATTGGTGCGGCAAATTCCCTGAGTTTATCCTCTGTGTTGAAAGGTCTAGGGTGGTGCCTGTGGCTCAAAGGAGTAAGGCGCCGGCCCCATATGCTGGAGGTGGCAGGTTCAAACCCAGCCCCGGCCAAAAACTGCAAAAAAGAAAGAAAGAAAGAAAGGTCTAGAGCTATTTCCTTCAGTGATTTCTCAGGTGAGAAAACAAAAGTCAGAGGGGGTGAGTAATTTGCCCCAGTCCACACAGCCAGAATATGGGAGAGTCACAATTTGAACCCAAGTGGTCTAGCTCCAGCATCCATGCCTCTTAAGGTGGGGTGGATGGAAGTGTGCAGGCAATTCTTCTCAACATTCTGGCCCCAGACTCCACTGCCCTGATCTGTCTCCCTTTCTTTGGCCACAGGTTGTTTCCCGACCTGGCTGCACAGCCACCCACCTCCGCAATCACCTCTGCTTTGGCCGCTGCTCCTCCCTCTACATCCCCAGTTCAGATGCCACCCCGATAGTCCTTTGCAACAGCTGTGTGCCCTCTCAAAAGCGCTGGGCATCCATGGCCCTGTGGTGTCATGCTGGCAGCCCAGCCACCCGTTGGCGGGTGAAGATATCCACCATGCTGATTGAAGGGTGTCGGTGCAGTCCAAAGGTGTGAGCTGCGCATCACAGATGGGCACCCAGAGACATGCACCTTGGAGAGATAGTGAGAAGCAGACTAACAAAGACGCCAACCTGGATTATGTTCACTGGGTCAAGAGACCACTGGGATGCAGGGATAAGAGCACACTAGACACAGCCCTGGCCATGGGGTGAGTGGGTATTCACTCACTTAATAGCAACTCACTGTTTGCTAGGCCCTGTGCTAAGCATTTGATAGGTACTTGTGTAATCTTCACAGTAGCCTAACAAGATAGCAGATAACATCAACTTTTTTTGTTGTTGTTGAGACAGAGTCTCACTATGTCACCCTCTGTAGAGCGCTGTGGCATCACAGCTCATAGCAACCTCAAACTCTTGGGCTTAAATGGTTCTCTTGCTTCAGCCTCCCAAGTAGCTGGGACTATAGGCACCTGCCACAACACCCAGCTATTTTTTTGTTGCAGTTGTCATTGTTGTTTTCTATGGGCTGGGTTCAAACCCACCAACCTCAGTGTATGTGGCCAGCGCCCTAACCCCTGAACTATGGGTGCCAAGCCAACATCACCTTATTTTACAGATGAGGATACTGAGGCCCATAGGGGCAGAGTCACTCAGTGTCACACAACAGTAAGTGGCCCTGCCAAGGATCGGAATCCACAGCAGTGTATTACCCACTCTTAACCACTAGGTTTAAATGTCTCTCACAGAATGAATCAATGAGACACTCCCAGCCACAGAGACGACAGATGGCCCTACCCAGACCAGGAGACACAGAAATAACCCCATCCTAGGGACACCAAAAACACAAAGTAGGCAGGCAGACGCAGCTTCTGGGAAAAACCTGGGGTCGCCAACTCAGAGGCAGGACCCATGTGTTCCCAGCTGTCTCTTGTCTTGACTATGGCTGCTGTCACATTCTTGTCCCACCCACCTGAGTCTCCCCACTGCCCTGTACCCTACGTGGCATTCCACAGGAATTATAAATGTTGGCTCTGCTCAGCTCTGTGTGTGTGTGCTTGTTCCTCTGACTGGGGTTCTCTGTATGTGGATGGCCCCAGGATGGGGTGCGGAGGCACAGGGGGCTCCCTCCCTAGCTGGGGTGCAGGGTTTGTGGCAGGCGAAGGTAGCCTGGCTTTGGGCGGCTGGAACCAGGGCCCTGGCAGATGGGCCCGTCTGGCACAGACACAGGGACATGTGGCGCTGTCAGTGTTGCCTCCAAATGCCCCCCGGAGTGTGGGGTGGGGGGTGTGACTGGGCCTCAGTCCTCTTCCTGCTTCAGGAAGGAAGGCCTCAGGTGAGGGGAACTCGAGGGACCTGAGGAAACAGATGGCCCAGCAGGGTGTGGGAGCCTGAGACCTCTGACCCTGAGGACCGGCACCAGGGGATGGGAACAGGCCAGGCAGGCAGCTCCCAAGGCCGCGCTTAAAGGCACTGGAGGGGACGGTCACAAAGGGCCCTGGGGGTGTGTGCCCACTTCCTCCTCCCTCCAGGGTTCTGTGCCAAACCCCAGGCAGCGTCCGAGAGGGCAGCCCAGCCCTGGCACCATGGGCACCCCTCCTCTCTGGCAGGCATGAGGCGTCTGCCTCCCCTACCCTCAGCTGTGCCCACCTCCTGTCAGCCAGGAGAGCCAGCTGGGAACCTTAATGCCAGGGGGCCCCTGGAGTCCCTGCCCCCTCCTGGGCAGTGCCAGCCCGCCCCCACCCCCACACCCCAGACCCAGTAATGGGTGGGTAATGAGTGCTGGGGGAGGGGGGGGTGTGAGGGATGCAGGTGCCACGGGCGCTGGCACGGGGGCTGCTAATCAGGTTTGCCAACGCCATCTGTCACCGCACGAGCATCTGGGGCTCAAGGTGACCCTGTCACCCTCAGTTATAATTATGAGTTTGGCATCTGTATTAAAGCCCGCCAGTCGGCCAGGAGGGGGAGAACTGGGGTGGGCTAGGGGGTGCACGGTGAGTTCTGTCCCTGGGGTCCTGTTCCCAGAGGCTGTATGGCTGCCAATGCATGAGGCTTCTCCATGCTAAGGGGAGTGTGTGTGTGTACACTCATCTCAGCCTTTATAGTTCTGTGTGTCTGTGTGCAGGGCTGGAAGTTGTGGGGGGGTTTTGTGTCCCCGTGTAGTGTTTGTGGGTCTCAAAGTTTGGTGGGACAGCTGGGGTTGGAGTTCTGAGATTATGTGGGTACACAGATGTGTGTGTATCTGCTTGCTGGGAGAGGATTGTATGGTGGTGTGCCTTTGGGTGACAGTGCATGGGTATATGTGTGTGTAAGTGTGACCATGTGTAATTGTGTATATATATCTGAGGGCAAGTGACACTGTATTTCTGATAGTCACAGCTGTGTGTCTGGGGTGGATGAGTTTCTGCTTAGGGTCATTTTGGAATGTCTGTGCCTTTTTTTTTCTTTTTGAGACAGAATCTCAAGCCATAGCTCACATAAACCTCCAACTTTTGGGCTCAAGCGATCCTCTTGCTTCAGTTTTTCTATTTTTAGTAGAGACGGGGTCTCACTCTGGCTCAGGCTGGTCTTGAACTTGTGAGCTCAAGCAATCCACCCACTTCAGCCTCCCAGAGTGCTAGGATTACAGGCTTGAGCCACTGAGACTAGCCATGTGTCTGTGTCTCTCTGTGTGTGTAAACACACAGGAGTAGCTGGTCACTGCCAAGCTTCTCTCCTGTCCTTCCCATTTGTCCCTGTCCTCTCCAACAGGTTCTATTCTGGAGGTCTCTGAGGAAGGCTCAGGGCTCTGGGTTTTGAAGGGTGGCCTCTGGATTCTAAGTTCTGAGTTCTTGGAACTGGATTCTGGGCCCAGATTCTAGTTCTGAGTAATAGGATCTAGGTTTTTTCCTTGTT